CGAAACAACGAAACGAAACCATCGAAACGAAACGACCGAAACGAGTAAAATAATAAGTAAATAAATGAAAAAAGTTAAAAAAAAAAAACAGCCTCGATCTCTGGCACGTTACTATGGCAGCCTGATCTCGCACCCAGATCCACATGTGTGACATCGTTACATCTCAAACCTGAAAGATGGATGAGCGCAAGGGTGTCGACGACGACCACGAAGACATCGAGAAACAGGTGAGTATTTTTCACATTTTGAATGGCATTCTAACTGAAACAAGAAATGTAATTTATCGCGGATTCGTAGGCAGTGGCGAATCGACAACGCTGAGCCCAGGATGTACGGAAACACAATCTCAAGAGTATCCGTGAAGAGCTGAAGCGCCTAATAAGAAATTACTTTGAGAACTGCAGGAGTCACGAAGGCCTGACGTTAATATGATTAAAGCCTGTCAAGTCGCCCTCGTTTTTCTTTAGAGATATATATTAAAGAAAGTCCTGGTTCGCACGAAGAATGCTGCAAAGTCATTCTCGAAAAGACCATTCGATTCGCCACCGTCTAAGAATCCACGATACGACCAGAAAACCTTTCTTTGAAATTAGATTTCTTGTTTTAGCTAGAATACCATTCAGAATGTGAAAATACCTACCTTTTTCTCGATGTCTTCCTGCTCGACACGCTTGCTCTCATCCACCTTTCAGGTTTGTGATGTCACGATGTCACACATGTGGCTTAAGAGCAGGATCTGGGTACGAGATGCGGCTGCCATAGTAACATGCTAGAAATCAAGGCTTTTTTTAAACTTTTTTATTTATTTACTTACTATTTTACTCGTTTCGGTGGTTTCGCTTGTTTCGGTGGTTTCGTTTCGGTGGTTTCGTTTGGCTCGTTTCGGTCGTTTCGGTGGTTTCGTTTCGGTGGTTTCGTTTCGTTGTTTCGGGTTTTAGTACATGCTTCAACAAACACCGTGCCACAAATGGTTCTTTCTCATGTCATCACGTCATTTAGATTACATTGAAATGTCCACATCCTTAAATCGATTGAAGAGCTCATCATAGAATTGCTGTTTACTTGTCGTTTTCTCTGTCTCTTCAAAGCAGTGAAAAATTCACCGATTTCGTTAACCTGAATGATAAATTGCTGGCTGATGTTTAGTTCGAATTGACCACCTTTGCGCCTATGCACCGCTCTCTCTGATTGCCTTCTTACTCCATTTGAACGTGCGAAAGCAAAGCAATATAAAACTGCTCAAGTCACGCTCTTTTTCCCAAATTCAAAGCATGATTATGACCGTCGTGATTTCCACTCCCACTTACCGAGAAAGGATTGGTGAACAGTTACACGAACCGATCAAGCAAGCGCGGGAAAATACTGACGGAAAAGAAAATCAAGAGTGGCTCGTGATTGGTGGAAAAACTACCAAGTTTGCTCCCATTGGTTGAACAACGATGCATGATTTCTATAAACCAGTTGAAGAGCTCGGCAATAATTATCGAAACACATGTGAAGCGTCGACCCAACGAGGTAAAAAGCCATCGATCGTTTCGCTTTTTGTACAAGACGATAAAAGAATAATACAGCAGTTAAGATGTGAAAATAGAAAATTTACCCACGCGCTAGTGGTGGCCAAACTGGCATTCAGTCTTTTCTATGAGCAAATTTACGAGTGCTGTAGAAAGCAGACTCATTATTTTACCTTGAAGAAGAGAACTTGTGCCCGAAGGTTTGAGCAGAGTTAACGGGTAATCTCGAGAGACCAAGATCTTTTCAGTTAACCATTCTCGTAGGAATCATTCTCACGGATGCGTTTTAGTTCTCTGCCTCTTTTAGTTAAATTAAAGTTAATCTAAGGTTCTCTCCACTATAAAGACGTTCGCATTATACAGTATATCGCAATATGAAAAGGGTGTTGTAGTGCTTCAGTGGGCCTTTGTTACATATTTTTTTATGTTATAATTCAGAAATCATAACGTGGTCCCATCTCAGTTATTCTGATTAGCAACTATATTGACTAAGCGTCCATTTGGTCAGACAATTATTGGAGATGGCAACATGCATTGTTCATCTTCGGATCAAAACACGAAGGCTGAATAAATTCTTTTTTCGATTTATATTACGGAATATAACTTCTCTTTCGTTTTATGAAAGCGATATTTGTTTATGTATACATGTATATTTAATGTGAATATTTAATGTGTATATTTAATGTCAATGAAATCTTCTTAAAAGAAACAATAAAAACGTCCCTCATTGTCTCTCATTCACGTTTTGTATAACCCGAGGACGAACAAATCTACGTGTCAATTGCATCGAACAAGAATCGATAAAACCCGCCCACTTTGTTTTCTGAAAAGAGAAAACGACCTCTTTTCAAATGCATAAAACATCATGAGGCGTGTAAGACGAGCTACCATTCGCTGCTTGCAGCGACTGTCCACTTCTTATGTAAATAAAGGGGGTGGCTCAACTTGAATTAAACGATGCAAAGTTAGAATCGCCTTCTTTTTAAATGATACTGAAGTTCGTCACCACGACACGAACAATCTTAACCCGTTTGACAGCGCCCACGCGAATCCATAGAACACGCTTAGTCGACATTTACAGCTGTGAAATACGGCGGATTATTGCTCTTTCGCACTCAGGAAGTGTTTTGGTGGTTTTTCCAGAGCTGATAATCACACTACTTCCAAGCCGGTGATCACGTCCACCAAACAACAAGTTTGTTATTTTTATTTGTGATGATAGTTTTGCTAATTTTGAAATTATGTCTTCCGAGTAATGTCAACAAAGTTTTGAATCGAAATCAAACGGCTAGCGACATGAAGCCAGCAAACTCGAAATTCATGTTCGCCTTGATGATGATAGTGCAGTTGCCAAGATACGCGGTCTTGGTAGAGGAATAGCTTTTATTCTTTTGCTGCTGTCATATAGTGTACTTGCTGTTGAAAAAAAAATTATAATATGTACGTGGCGTTTACAACCACCTTGTAACTATGTGATCATGAATTCAGTTTTCAGCCCAAGTTTACATGCAGCGAAATGGACTCTTGACAGTCGCTTGGCGAGTTATAGCAGCGAGATTTCACAAAAAAGTAAATTGGTTGTATTAATTGTGATAACAGCTCCCTTTGACTGTGAACCACATTTAAAATAATATTCATAGGTAAACTGTAGTTTAATACGAAAGAGAACAGCAGTGCGACTTGTGTACAAACTATGACTGCGTTTACAGAAACAACAATTTGGCAACGAATATTATTTGTAATAGCAATATTTCCAGCCGCTCCCGAAGTTTTTATCAGATGTCGAAAAGATTTTTTTATTGTTTGTAGCCGGAAAATTTTATTTTTTTAAAGGCATTAAAATCAAAATACAGTACTGCCGTATCTATACAACAGGAAGCTAAAGCTACATAAAGGACACTTGCCAAAAGAAAAAAAAGAATTATTCTCAATTTCAGTTTTAGAATTAATCAAAACACTGACGGTTACAATGTCAATCAAGCACGAGTTTACTTGAAAACTCGTTTCTTATTGGTCGTTGGCAGCATAAAGCCAGCCTTCTTCACAAAGATGAATGATTAGGGATTATCCGCATACATTGAAAGAAACTGCTTGTGAAATGAATTCATTTCTTTTGACTTGAAATAAGTGTACCATTCATTATCTTAATAAATATTTTTTTCTTTTCTTCTAGTTTACCCGGGAAAAAATGTATTGTTTATGTGTTTGGAACAAACAAATTTAGCGTAAATTGGAAATTAGCTAAGCAGCTTTTTAGGCAGAAAGCAAGGAAGTCTCGATACGTTAGGATATTCTCGGTGAGTGAATATTGCAAGATTCTGCAGATGTTTTTGGTGTGAAACTTTGTTTGTATTACTTAAACAATTAGCTAAAGAATTTCAGAAGCAAAGTCCTGGAAGAATTTTTCTTTTCATCTTATTTTATTCTCAGGTGTGCTTGCTTTTATAACGTGTATACGCTTTCTCGAAATATCTACGGAAGTACTCCGAAAATGGCGTATGATTGTGCTTCTTGATGCGAAGTCCAAATTTACGCTAGCGGTGAAAATTCTCCATAATTTCAGTCAGGATGAGAGTGAAGATCAGACTGCATATTCTTCCAGGGTTGTTTTTCAATGACCGCTATGAACAGCTGACTTCTTTGTTTGCTTTTAGAACCACTGCTAAAAGAACAATAACTTTATTCTGCCAGTGTTTTTACAGTTATCGCACGAAAATATAGAATGTTGTGGCGCTCGGCCTCAAATGTCAACTGGACAAGACTTAGAAGGTTATACCTTGGTTTTTTGATCGTATGTTATTGTTAAGCTCACTAACTGTATGAGATCTATTTTTCTTAACCAGAAAAAAAAAAAAAAAAACTGCTGGTTGCTATATTAGATTACGTCGAGAGTGCCCCCTTAAACCAGCAAGGCCCGCTTTGAGACCCTGTGTTTACTCATGTAAGTGACCTGAGAAAATCTTCCAATGTGAAATCTCGAGTTTAGCTGTAGTTTCAAACGAGCAGTTGCCGCAAAATATCATTAATTTGGTTACAGGCTCGTGCATTTCGGAATTGATTTTTCGCTTGGTCATTTAATCGCACAAATTTAACAGTTGCAAATAAGGATTTCTAGCAGGGGATATTTTTCTTCGGTAGCTGGAAAACATAAAATGCGCGTATGAATCTCTCCACTGGGTACGCATAATAACTTCCACGTCATAAAGAAGCCTTCTATATCAATCATATTTTGTCAATCAAAAACGACTAATACATTTTTACATTTAGGAACCCGGCAGCTTAAAAGCTATCGTTTATTCTACGCGTGCAGAAAATTTTACCTCATGGGGAAAAAAAAGAAACGAATTTAAAGGAAAATTTCAGCTGCTTTCCTTAGCTAAATTGATGACATGTATGCATGAAAATTTTATGCCCTGCCTGACAACCTAATCTATTTTTGAATTAATTAACATTAAAGATAAATTTTCAAATTTACTTTGTTTGTAGGTAGGTCAGTGAATTTTCTTGTGGATGGAGCTTGAATACATAGACTTGGAAACTACTGGAATTACCAGTACAGGTAAGCGAACGAAACTTCAACTGAATCACTTAAAAAATGACCAGTTTGTTTCCCGCCACAAGAAACCGAATGACAATTTAAATATTCGACTTATTTGCGAGTCCGGGTATAGAAATAATCTTTATTGACTTGTCGCGAACCTCGGGGAGTGCTAGTCAATAGACTTAGGGCAGTGGAGGGGATTCTCTAGGAAATCGGTTCACTTTTACTTATTCGAAAAAAAAAAAAATCAAAGTGAATACGGTTAAATGCCGTGCGCGGTATTTTAGTCACAACCAATTATTCAACGTTCGACAGAAGCAAAGTTTGTCGCTAAATGAAATTCGTCGCAATTAACTTTCACCTGATATTGTATGTTTTGTGTGCACTATTTTGCTTTTCGCGTCAAAAGGCTAAATCCTTCGCAACGTTTGTCCGTCGAGTTCGCTTGTCTTTTGCAGGCGTGCTATAAGTCTTTTTCATGGCCCTGAAGAAGATTCTGAATAGTAGTAAAAGACAAAAGAGATGACGAAGGGCTACGCGATTTGCAAGCCATTAGAATTCAAGAACACCGCCGAAAGTTTGAGTTTGTCTTTCTTGTTAGCGGGAAATTAGATTTGCTCAGTTGACGACTTGCTTGTTACCAAACTCACGCCAGACTAACTGGTAAGTGAGGCAGAATATTAGTTGTAAACCTCGCGAGCAGGGCGGGCCAGTCGACTATCTCGGTGGTCTTTATATACTGTCTAGAAGATTTTTAAGACAATCAACGAATGTTCTGTTAGTCACTCAGTTTGTGAAATGAGTATTCGTACATGTTCCGCTGGTTTGTATTGAATCACATGAATGGAACTGCGACGGTGATGACCAAGCCATTGTCTTACCGTTGAGCAAAAAGCTGTGTTGTATGTATAATCAGTTGTGTTGAATGCACCTACACCTCTAATAAATGATACAGCATCACAAGTCGCAGTCTTTTTTAAATATTTAAATTTTTATGGGGCTCAGATTTGAATTCCGTTGATGACTCAGCGATAATACTAGGTCTTGCCGGCTGGATATTCTCAGAGATTTTATTCACGATCTGTTTTCCTCTTGGTGTCGACTGAAGGCGAAATTTTTGTTACAATAACGTTACTGTTTTGTTTTTTTCTGATGGATATATACTCTTTTGACTTATAAATTAAACATCGAGGTTCTCTACAGTTATAAACCCACAGACCGTGCTCCTGACATTATGTATCCACTGATCACATTGAATTAAGCTTTCTACACCTTATTTTGTATTAATGTCTTCATGAAAATGACATCTATTGCTTCACAGTCTTCGATCGAAATTTTCCCATTTGTAACCGTCATTTTTTTTCCTGATCGTCGTTTTAGTCAAGTCTATCGACTTTTGCAAGGGCCTTCCGCAATTGCGTCAACGGGAAACCTTTGATCGGGAAAGTCACTATTTCTATCCCAAAGAACATGTGTGATTAGTTTCATCCTCGCACGCTGAAACTGAATTGCTTTATGATGACGTTTTTCAGTTCGACGTTGCCACTCATGCTGTAAACAGTTTTTTTTTTTGGTTTTAGATCTCGCCGCCTCTTTACTACTCCAGAAAAAAGTTCATGTGTTACAAAATCGTTTCCTAGCCTTGCAGGAAACAATTTCATCTGTAGCCTCATGAACAATTTATAAAAACATCGAGATTTTTCTTCACTCCACTGTTTTGACGGAGCTCTCGTCTGCACTTTTTTTTTTACACTGAACCCTCTTTGAAACAGAGCGTAAAGGATCAGTTACCACATTCGACCGACGGACTTGAAACCGCTTCTTTAAATTTTTGTAGACTGGTCGATAAATTCCATATGGACCCTTGCGCACCCAGAAATAACCGCCTAGGAGGAAAGCCTACTTGAGAGAGGAATGAATTGCCCTAATGCGAACAGGAAGATGTTTAATAAAAGCAAACTTTTCAGTTGAATTAGCTTCCATTATTTAAAAAGGTGAATGCCGGTGCAGCCTTAAAAAACTCATCTAACTGTCATAGATGTACTTTCTGATCACTGTTCGATAAATGTGGCTTTTGAAACAGGTCTTAGCTCTCGAGATGATCTGTCCAAAACACCAAAAGGGCGGGAATCGAAGGTAATTCCTAACGAGTGCACAACATAGACATGGTCATGCATTCTTTGCATGACTGGAGCATGATCAGCGCATTTTCAGAGCATGTCTGAACGGTAGTCCAATTTTATTAAGACTGATCATTGTTTGAAATCCGTTCACAGTGTACTTTATCCAGTCTTGACTATGTCTCTGTTGGTTTCTATCTTAATAAACTTGCTCTGATATTTCCTTAGTTTAGGAGGTGATTTAAATTTATGGCAAAAAGTGACTCAATATATCGTAGCATGTTTCCTTACAAAAAATTGAAACGGTTTAAAAATTCTTCTGACTTTTGGGACAAAGTTCACTTGTACAGTTTAAAACCACAGCCGAGAAATACACCAGTTGTGAAGGTTTTGTATGTTTATCAGTTGCGTTCTCGCCGCAGGATTAAAACACTTGCTTTCAGATTTCGACTAGAGATCCCAAATTAAGAAGAGTAGCAAATTAAAGGAAAACAACATCAGCGAATTGGAATGAGATCAAAAACTGCCGATGTTAGCTTTTCAGTTTGTTTTTCTCATCGTGAATCATTGCACGACCGTACATGAGTTTTGACACTCATCGGCACCTTATGTACCGCACCCTCTTGTTATGAGTAAAAAAGGTGTCTTTCACTACACATAGAGCATTTTATACCTCTTTAACCTAAGTATCTCGTAGAAAGAACCACGGTTGTAATTCTACTGTGTGTAAAGGACCTCTGGAACGCGGTCACGTAGAATCAGATTGTATTGCTTGTTTGAAGTATTTTTACGTACGTGCACGTAACATCCTGTCTTGTGGGATGGCGCTGAAAAGGCGTGAAAGATTCCATTCCCACGATGTTTCAAAACACTTGCGTTGCGTGATCATGTCTATATTTATATAAACAATGTTGATTTCCATCAGTTCTTTCGGTGCGTGAGTCATGATGAGATCGAGTTTTTCTTTGCTTCAATTCATCACTAGATTATATTTTGTTTGATCGTGGTGGAACTAAAAGGGGAATATAAAAACGGGTTAGTTTTCATTTTCAAGACTGTTTCATGTTTGAAATTCAGAAATTGTGTATCAGTTGACGAAACCTGTTAAAATGATCATTGTAAAACATTACAAATCTTGCGTGTGATGTACTTTACTGTCACGCAAATCAAGAAATCAAAATTCGCATCACGCGTGTGCCACCTTAGATTATAAGCCCCGGCGTATCTTTCGATTGGTTGTTCCGTTTTCAACCTTTGTTCGTCTCAATGGCCCCCTTGTTCACCATTGTTTACCAATCTGCATACATCTTGTCCAATAAGGACCACGTCACGTGTGGTCAATAAAAATAATGACAAAACAACGTCAACTTGTCACCACTTGTCCTATTTTTGCGATGCGCTTCTTAAAATTCACGCCAGCGGCAGCTCAGAATTCCAGGCAGTTTTACCGCCAGAGTCTTCGTTCACTTAAGCACGGAGCGAGTTGGTGCTTGTCGCTGCAATTTTCGCGGTGTTTTATAAGTGTTTTAGGTGATTTGACCGGAAATTCTAAAGCGCGGGTGATTTTGTGTTGGCGGGTGATTGACAATGCGGTACATTTCGGGACGCGTTTGATTGGTGGATAGCTGACATCCAATCACTTGGATTGCATGTGTGTCGTTTACAATGAAACTTCGCTTTTTTGTCTGGGAAAGCCTGACCGGGCGAAGCTATTCGACGCTGTATATCGTACAAATTTAAGGTTTCAAGCGTAGATTTCGATAATTACTAGACAGTTTGCGATTCAGGAGAAAAAAAGATAATAACAGGAGGCTCTTTTGACGATAATGATGTGAGGGGAGAGGAATTCTTCTGCGAAATAGGAACTTCGCTTTCGAAAGGATTTTGCTCGAAAATTGGATTGAGACGTTTCACCTACAACGTGATGGTTGTTAAAGTAAGTTTTCCCCCTTCCTTTTTTATGTCTGATGATGTATAACTTATCACAGAATTAAGGTGAATAATTTATTGTGTAGAGGTAGTTTCGAAAGATTTTGGCGCTTTGAATTACAGGGAGTTAGACCCAGTGGTATATTGTTGCGGCGAAAGTCGAGTACGAACGCCGCTTAGCCCGGCCGGGCGGCGAAGCTTTGAACTCCAAACTTGCCTCCTTGTAGTTATTTTGTAAATTAACTCAAAACGTACTGATGGCGGGTTTTATTATAGCATTGCGAGAGGTTTCTGACCCGTGTATACCGTTAGTAAGACATATAAACATAGCGGTGTCTTGTATTTAAAGAAAAGAATCGAAGTTGGTAAACGTCCATTTAGCTCTTGTCCTCAACCGCTACAGAACAAATCCAAACCGCCGAATATTCCGACGTTTTGGACCTCGCTATTCTTTCCATCGACGCTATTCGTAGGATTTCGCGAGCTTATTGGTCGGGATTGGGTTTCAGTTGTGCCTTTAAGCCCGTGTAAGATGGCATACATAGGATTTCAATTTGCCTTTGTGTTAGGTCAGAAGATAGTTGTAAACAGTTCTCGCGGGGATCTATTTAGTCGAGAATTTTCAGCTTTACGTTGAAATGCTGCACAAAATCTCCGAGTTCTGAGTTTTAAATTGACTTTTCAATATCCCTCTTTGCACGGGTGATTAGTTCTCTTTCATTACCGAAGCAGTCTTATTGAAGTTTAATATTGTGATCATAGATTCATGGTTTGCAATTTTCGCTATGATACACAGAATACATAGTAGTTCATATTATTAAAATAAACCATTGTGTGTCCTCTGTAGAAATGGATTGTAAAGAACCATAAATGTACCATTGAGAAGGTTGTAGCTAAATAATTTAAAGAATTTTGTGGTTTCTCGTTGGTTTATTCCACCGAAAATAGGCTGAATTTAATTTCTAGTTA